CCGGGGTGCGAGTCCCAGCTCGGCCACCGTCCTGTGTCAGTGAGTGACGTGGGCATTTGCTCTTCCAGGTCTCCGATTCCTTCTCTGCCAAAGGAGCAAAATAGGACTTGCTCTTTCTGCTTCTCTGAACTGAGGCAAGGAGCTTGGAAATGTACAGTGGGCCCTGGGAACGCATCAGCCCTCGTCGTCTGTGCAGAAAAGCCAGGGTCCTGGCGTGCAGCGGGCTTCAGGCCCCCAGGGAGGTGGGCTCCTGAGCGGTGAGCGGGATCATTCATAGGATAAAAATGCTGGCTGATGTGGTCAGGTTGCTCACTGTGTGCCAGACACCGTTTTAACCATTTCATGTGAGTTTACTCACTTATTCCTCACAACAATGCCATTTTATAGCTGAGAAAACTGAGGCTTAAGTAATTTGCAGAAAGTCACAAAATAACTTGCAGAAAGCCTCCTGAAGCCCTGCACAGCCCTCAACACGAGTCTTAACCATGTTCATGAAAACTCCCTGCCGGTTTAATGTCTGGTTTGAGTGTTTCCACCCCCCGGGATGCAGAGGGGGCCGCAGAGGGTGCTCTCCTGTCTCCAAATCTGGCTCCCGTGTGATCATCTCAGCAGCTGTCATTTAGAGAGAGCACACACGCTGTTTGGCCAGGTGTTGTACATATATTGCCTTAAACCTTCCCACCAGCCGTGGGAGAAGGCATTATTGTTCCCATTTGACAAATGAGGAGGCTGAGGCTGAGAGAGGTTAAGTAACTTGCCCGGCATCACCCCGCCACTGGGTAGCAAAGCCGGGGACTCGTCCCAGATTGTCCGCTCCTTCCGTGTCTCTACAGCAGGTCTCTCCTCGCCCTCTGTTCCTCGTCACATGCCTCAGCTTCAGAGTCGTCTTAGCACTTAGCACGCTCTGAAACTGCCCTGTTCACGTCTGTTTTCTGGTTTGCTCTCCGTCTCCCCAGAGATTCTCTTTCAGAGCTGATCCTTGTTTGCTTTTCAGGACAGCCTCTTCAGCACCCAGCGAGGCGGCAGGCTCGAAGCATTTGTTGTTTGACAGACTGAATGAAAGGATTATGTCATGGCGCCTCTTGACACAGGCCGGGTTGCCTTTGGAACCAGAAGATGCTGCTGTTGGCAGTGCCGTCCTGGGGTGTGTGGAGGGGGAGCTGAGGTTAAGTGGGACAGAGCTCCTTTGGGGGCCTGCCACTCAGCGGGGGTTTCCTGGTCAGAAACCCGGCCTAGACATTCCAGCACTGAGCAGAGTGGGGGAGGCTGACCCACGCTAAGGAAGTTCAGTGGGGTGACCTTGGCTGGCACACTGAAATGCCAGCCAAGGTCAAGGAGGCCTGGGTACTTTGCTGTTGGCCAATGCTCCTCCAGGAGGACTGTCTACGCCTGGAAGACCGCAGCCGTGCGCAGTGGCTCCTCCAGTGGGAGCCGGAGTGAAGGGCGTGAGGAGCTGCAGTGGTTAGTGACGTACAGGAGGGGACCTCAGTGTGCAGTGCCACCGAAGGGAGGTGGCTGCTTTTTAAAAAATTGAAATGTAACTTAGATACTGCAAAATCTTAAGTAAATAACGATACATTTTTACATGTGTATCCACCTGGGTAACCACCCCTCAAGTTAAGATGCAGAGTATTTCCTCCCACCAGATGGGATCCTGCCTTCTCCCCAGGAAGCCCTCTTGTGCAGTTCCCGGTCAGTAACCGCCTCCCACCCACGGGCAACCGCTGTTTGGGCTCCATTACTACAAGACTGGTTTTTCCCTTTTCTCATTTCAAACAGATAAAACTATACACTATTTACTTTTTTGTATCCACTTCAACTGCCTGTGGGTTCACCAGTGTTGTGCCTGGCAGCGGTTCATTTTTCACATCTGTGTGGTGTTCCGTTGTATGAATATACCAACTCACTGCCCTGTGCTGCCCTTGCTGGACACATGAGTTGTCTCCTGCTGTGAGCTGTAGAGGACAAAGCCGCTGTGGGCGGTCTATTGCTCAGTTGTCAGAAGCACTCACTTTACTGGGGACATACCCTGCAGTGGGACTCCTGTGTCGTGGGTACACGCTTGTTCAGCCCAAATCTCTTCAAAAGTAGTTCTACCATTTTTAGAGTTGAATAGTCTTATAATGTCATCAAAGGGGGTTGGATAATCTTAATGATGCCATCATCCCCGATGCCCACTCATCACCCTGTCTCCAGTGAGGACACGTGCCTAACAGGCCTTGTGTCTGCCGGCCAGGCCCCTCTTGTCTGGCCTGTGTTGGCTGAGCCCTGAGGAAGTTTAGCTCTCTAGCTCTTTTGCAGTTTTCCTTATTAATCACCAAATCTTCTGTCATTGCCACACTGCCTGGCTACAGGCAAGCCACAGTGTCCAAGGACCTTTAACAGGTCCTTGGGAGCCTGTTAAATCAATGCCTTCCTTGTTGAGAGGCTCCCCGGGCCTCTTGCAGACATCCACGTGGCCTCCCGGGTTGTCAGCAAGGCACGTTGTGCATCGGTGGGGTGTTTCCTGATGGGATTTCCTGGAGGCCTGGACACAAATGGCTCCCTCTCCCATGTTGTGGTGATGTTCATGCATTTTCATTGCAGGGGGGTGGCAGTGTCAGACCCATTCCCCAGATTCTAGGGTGCATCATTTGTAGAGACTCTGTGCTGATTAGAAAATTCATAGGAAGTATGAGTTGAAAAAGACCACAGAGAGGCCACCAAATCCATTCCCCTCCTATGGGTGGGGAAGCTCAGGCCCACGGAGGTCTCACTTGCCCAAGGTCACACAGCTTGTCTCCTGACACCTAGTCTAGGTTCATTCCTCTGGGGCACCAGGCAGGCAGGATGGTCATCTGGACACTCGGACTCCGGGTGGCAGCTGCCACTGTTTGCAGAACCTGCTGCTGTTTAGAGAGACTCTCGTGATTGAACATGGTCTGCATCACTCCCAGCTGCTGCCCCACGAGCTTCTCAACCTGCAGCCAGGCTGCCTCTGTGGACGCCTCTCTGTAGCGGGTTCACGGCTGTCCTATCAGCGTTGCTTGGAGAGATTCTGTTAAGGCACTACTGTGTCGTCTGCAGAGCAGCAGAGTTCCACCAAACACTTCTCATTTACACTGTTTTACTGTACATCCACCCTGATGAGTTCTCAGGCTTGGCAGCATTCTCTCCATTTCAGAGATGAGAAAACGAAGGTCCGAAGATCACTACCGGCTTACCCCCAGTGAATCATAATATATAATGCAGTACCCTGCCCCGTCCACTGGCACGTAGGCCCCCTGTTCTTTGAGGTCTGGTTCAAAGGCTGCCTCTTCCATAGAGCCTTCTGTGATTCTTCCTCCTTCTGTGATTCTTCCTCCAGTAGATGGTGATGGCTTTCTCCTCTGACCTTTCTTACAACGCTTAGCAACTTCACCATGGGATATTCTTGTAAACTCATTAATGCCACATCCCCTGAGTGCCTGCTGTATTTAAGGCCTTGTGCTGGCCTTACCAAGCATACCAAGATGAAGTTCACAGCTTGGTAGGCAGAAAGACAAGACCCCCGAACTGTGACAGGCACACAGATTGACGCTTTGCCAGTTGTGCTGGGGGAGTGACCCATACAAAAGGATGGGGGCACAGTCAATCACGGGGCACTTCCTGGAGAAGTTACACTTAAAAAAAAATACTCACCTGAGGATATGTTTGTTGATTTGAGAGAGAGAGGAAGCGGGATGGGGGAAGGGAGACAGAAACATCGATCAGCTATCTCCCCTGCGTGCCCCGACTGGCGATCGAACCCGCAACCTTTTGGTGCAGTGGACAACGCTCCAGCCATCGAGCTGCCTGGCCAGGGTGGAGTCACACGTTTAAGCACAGGTTCCATCTCAGCTTTGGGGCTGTGATTTAGGGCACGAACTGTGTCTGCTCCCTGTGTCCCTCGTATTCTGATGAGCTCTCCCACCTCCACTCTCCCCACCCTCAGCCGTGAGCAGACAGGCGTGAACTGGGGGCCTTACTCTCCTTCCCAGAGCCCGAGCATTTGTGGGGTGGGGGCTGGTTTACCTTTAGCACAGTGGGCTTGACACTGAGGGAGGGGCTGTGAACTTTTCCAGTGGGGTCATTTCCCCCTCCCCAGCCCTGGGCATTGCAAGAGAAGTCAGGGAAGAGCCAGTTTTCTGAGAACTTCTGTCCCTTGGAGAAGAGCTGGCACAGGCTCAGGGTGCAGCGAGGGAAAATGAACAGGGCTGTGGGTAAGGGGAGTGTGTAGTCTGTGGGGTTGGGGGAGTCTTAGGTTAGGTTCTCTAGGAGCAGAGCCTGGGACGGTTGGGGGTAGGTACAGTTCAGGCAAGTGATTTGCTGAGAAAATATTCTCAGGAGAAACTAGGGAAAAAAAGGAAGCAGCTGGGCAAAAATGTGGTTGAACTGACTTAGCCTCAGCCTCTTTCCAGGGTCATGGGGTCCAGGGGTCCAGGGGTGAGGCTCTGGAGTATAAACAGCACCAGTCATCCCATCTTGAGGCAAGAGGGCTGGGCTTTGCACCTGTTTTCCAGTCATCAGGAGGGCGTGTGTGTACTGGGGAAGAGGGTGACCTCCTAGGCATTTCTGGGCCAGGCAGCTCCCACCGGCTAAGGGCAGTTCCCTGGGGAAGGTGAGCTCTGTGCACCCAGTAGCTGTCACTCAGAGCATCTGGGGAGGGATGCTCTCGCCAGATGTAGGGTGGAGCACCAGCAGCTTCCACCACAGGGGGCTGCTAAAACAGTCTGGATTACAAAGCCCCTCACCTTCATCAGCTCATTAATGTGCCCAGATCTCTTGCAGTGGGGAAAGAATTGCCCCTTTCTGAGTTCCTGGCCCTTCTGGTTGTGGCCTGGGGCTCTGGGAGGGTTCTTTCCTGAGCTCAATGGGATCAGGCCTCTGAAGAATGACCTGGGGAGATCTGGGCTGCCCCCTGCCCCTGATATCGTCAGGAGGGAGCCTTAGACCCCCTCTGGCCCTGGCGCCCCTTGTCTAAACCTCTCACTCTTTGCCAGCTCCAGCCCAGGCCCAGATCGTGCACGCGGGCCAGGCGTGCGTGGTGAAAGAGGACAACATCAGTGAGCGCGTCTACACCATCCGGGAGGGTGACACCCTCGTGCTGCAGTGCCTTGTCACCGGGCACCCTCGGCCCCAGGTAAGCCCCCACCCAGCCTGTGTGGCCTCTCCTGCCCACACCGCAGCCCTCTCCACCCCGACTCTGCGATCAGAGCTTGAGAAGCCACAGCAGGCGAAGGGGACTAGAGGCCAGGGGGGCAAATGCACAGAAGACAGGAGCCAGGGCTGGGGAAAGAGCTGGAAAATGAACTCTGAGGAAGGGCTGGAGGCTGTGGGCTTATTCACTTGAAAACACTGCTGGCCACAGGGAAAACCCGGAAGGTCAGTTACTCAGTTGCACTCTGTCCCTCGTGAAGGCGAGCAGACACGCTCTCAGCTGCACCGCAGCCGTGTTTGAGAGCGGACAGGGCGCCAAGCACTGTGCTGGGTGCTTTCTCCAGTGTTTTCCCTTTGGCTCCTCACAACCATGCCGCGAGGAAGACATTTGTGCCCCCATTTTACAGCTGAGGAAATAGAGGTTCAGGCTGGGTAAACTCCCAAGGTCACACAGCTCTTGCGAAGGTGGAAGCAGAATTTGCATCCAGAACCAGAGTTCCCGGTAGCCTGGCACACTTCCTCCCAGTGTATTCGTCTTTGGATTGGGGGCTCCAGGAATTACCAGCAACAGAGAATACGATCTCTACTTCAGGAGGATCTCTACTTCAGGAGGCGTCTGGTGGGCAAGGCCTACACTCTTGAGGTTAAAAGACTCTAAGCAATTAGAAAGCAACAGATGCTGGGGATCTGGAAATGCCAGGTGAATTTTGTCCCGGACCAGCTGGATGGTTCAGACAGGAAGTGCAGGCTGGTTACCACTGAGAGCTGATGCGAGGAGGCGGTGGGCTGGAGGGATGCGTGGAATTTGCTGCTGAGCTGCTGTGACCTTTAAGAACAGCAGAAAAGGTGTAGGTTGGATTCTAGGAAGGAGAGTGAAATGTGAAATCTTTTTATTGGGGGATAATTTTGGGAACAGGGATGGCTGTAGTAGGTCTGGCCTTGAGATAAGCAGGTGCACGAGGAAACCCCTGCAGAGGTGTCCAACCTGTGGCCATAGGCCGCGGGAAGCCCAGGATGGCTGTGAGTACAATCCAATGCAAAATCGTAGATTTACTTAAGATATGAGATTTTTTTTTTGGTGATTACATGTTGCAATGTATTTCACGTGTGGCCCAAGACAACTCTTCTTCCAGCGTGGCCCAGAGATGCCAAAAGGTTGGACACCCCTGCACGACTCTTTTCACCTGAAACTCTGATCACTGCTTGTGCCTTCTGGAAGGCTTGTTTAGGCGTGCAAACAGTGCTGCCAGTCTTCAGGTTGGTGTCAGGTGTGACTATTAGGGATGGTCCATCCTGTTGCCAGGGAGGCAGCTGGGCCATCTGTCCCTAAGGCCACACTGGCCATCTGTGTATGTCCCCTCGTGCGTCACGTGTGTGAGTCATCTGTGGTTGTGGCTATGTATACAAGCCTTCGTTTTTCTATTTCTATCCACAGTTTCATTGTTTTTCCTGCTACCCAGGCTCAAATCCCTGGGCTCACATTTGCCTCTGTCCCACCTCATTGCCCACATATCGCCAGCCCCTGACACCTTTGTTTTTATTCTTTTGCATGGGCCCTCTCCTGCCTGTTCCTCGTTATTCCTCTGAGTCAGACCTTCAGTCCTATTCCCTGGTCCACTGCCCATTCTCCCAAATCTCCCCTCCAGTCCATTCCTGCACCCTGATCCCTAATTCTCATCCTCCAGCCTGCTGCATCATATCGCTCCCCTCTCAGAAACCCTTCGTGGCTCCCCATGACCGACCAGACCCAGTTCAGGCTCCTGGAGGTAAACTCGAAGACCTCCCACAACCGGCCCCCACCTACCGTTCCTGTCTCATCTCCCATCTTCCTAACACCTGTGCTCCAGTCGAACTTGCCCGCGTACACCCTGTTCATTCCTGTTTTAACCGCTGCTGCTCACCACTCCTGAAATGCCTTCTAGTTCCCCTTTCACTCATTTCATTACAACAAACGTGTTGAGGACTAGCTCTGTGCCAAGCCTTGTGATGCAGCCCAAGGATACAGTTGCAGTTCCTCTTGTCACGGAGCATCTTGTCTCCCAGGGAGCAGCATCATCTCATGGCCCTCTCTGTGTCGGAGTGGGGGACTGAGTGGGCAGGAATTCGATGTTTCTCCGAATGTCCAGAGAGAGGGAATCCCTGGGGCCCAAATGAAGAAGGGATCTATAGCGATGGCAGTGAGCCGGAGTTGAAGAACCTGGTCCTTCGAAAGACTTGGAATACGCGGACCTCAGGGGTCGTAGTACTGATGCCTGCATGGAGCCGACTGAGTTGAGGCCACGGGCCGTCTGTGGCTAGAAGCTGGAACTGGACTCCATCTAAAGCTGGAAGCTCAAAAGAGTAGCACCACCTATAAATGGGGACTAGAAGACCTCTCTCCCCAGCCCAGAGTCACAGCAGGGAGCGGACTCTGTCTTTCAGGGTGTGGGTGTAAACAGTCCCCTGTGAGAGAGCATGACCCTCAGTCTGTCCGCCCCTGGCAGTGGTGAGGAAACCCTAAACCAAGAAACTAACAGAAAAACTGGTTGGAACCTGGGGACCCATGTGTCTTGGCCATCGGCAACCACAGGCTGCACCACAGACAGGCCTGTCGGGTCCTAGGTGGGACTTCTGTGGAAGATAATTGCCACTGATTACAAGCCTGTGGAGTGAAATTCTGAAACTCACTTAAAAATCCAGCACCAGGAGAGACAGTCCGTATACTCAAATAATTGAACAATTCATATCCAAGGAAACAGATAACAGAGAAATTTTAAAGGATCTTTAAAATAAATGTTTAAAATGTGATGCCCTGACCAGTGTGGTTCAGTGGATTGAGTGCTGGCCTGTGAACCAAGAGGTCACTGGTTCAATTCCCAGTCAGGGCACATGCCTGGGTTGCAGGCCAGGTCCCCAGGTCGGGGCATGAGAGAAAACCAATCGATGTTTCTCTCACACACTGATGTTTCTCTCTGTCTCTTTCTCCCTTTCTTCCCCTCTGTCTAAAAGTAAATAAATAAAGTCTTTTAAAAAATGTTTAAAGGGTTAATAGGAGTAGAATCTACAGGACAGGAGACTGTAAAACCTGATCAGTTAGATATGGAAACAAAAGCAAATAGAAATTGTAGAAAATGGAATAAGTTTTTGACTTTATGTATTTATTTATTAAACAATTTTATTTATCTATTTTTAGAGAGGGGAAGGGAGGGAGAAAGAGAGGGAGAGAAGCATCAATGTGTGTTGCCTCTCACATGCCCCCTACTGGGGACCTGGCTCATGACCCAGGCATGTGCCCTGACTGGGAACTGAACTGGCAACCCTTTGGCTTACAGGCCAGAACTCAGTCCACTGAGCCACACCAGCCAGGGCTGAAATACGTTTTTGAAAAATTGGCCTTAATAGCACAGAGATAACTAAAGAGAAAATTAATGAATCAGATGCTGGATCTGAGAAAATCCATGAGACTGGAGAAGACAAAGAGATGGAGATGTGAGACAGAAGCTGGGAGACAGGAGGAGAGGATGAGAAGCTACAGCATAAACTTAGGTAGTCCAGGTGAGGCTAGAGATGACCAAGAGGAAGCAATATTCAAAGATTAAAACTGAGAGTTTTGTAGACTTGAAGAAAGTTATGAACCTTCACATGGATAAAACAAACCACATTCTAAGCAGTGTGTAAACAAACCCCATCTAGACAAATTGTGTTAAAACCATAAAAGTCAAGTACAAAAAGAAAAAAATTCATGGCCTTGTTCTCTCTCCAAAGCACTCTTTGGTCTCAGTATGGATCACCTGAAGCCACCTGTAGCCTTCCCCAAGTTTCGTAAGGTCCAAGTCAATGAGGGTACAGCTGAGGGTGAGGAGGGATTGAGAGCAGCAACATCATGGCCAGCAGTGACCCCTCCCTGCATGAGAAGGTTGCCCTTTCACCTCTTTCTCCCAGCTTTTTTGTTTTTATGACCTATGGCCTGACCTATTCTCCAGTATCAGAGCCCTTGCCCTGTCTCAGTAGCAAGCAGTTCTCCTGAACTTTAAGATGGAAGCTTCCGCCCTGGCTGGCATAGCTCAGTGGATTGAGTGCGGGCTGCGAACCAAAGTGTTGCAGGTTCGATTCCCAGTCAGGCCATATACCTGGGTTGCAGGCCATGACCCCCAGCAACTGCACATTGATGTTTCTCTCTCTCTCTCTTTCTCCCTCCCTTCCCTTTGTAAAAAATAAATAAATAAAATCTTAAAAAAAAAAAGATGGAAGCTTCCTACATCATCCTCCTGTCCTTAGAATTTAGTAATGTGGAACTGATCAGTTTTTCTTAAACCTCTGGTAATTGGAGTCATATCCAATAGCTCCAGTTTCTTGTGTGATCTTTGATAGTGTCCTGTGATCTAAGGCAATGCTAATAAAAGACATTTGTTGAGTGACTAATGTATACCAGGCCCCTACTTAAGTGCTTTGCATACTTTGTTTCTAAACCTCATAATGACCCTGCAAACTGGGTACTGTGCTGCATAATAGTTATTGATATCTGTTGCTGCATAACAAATGTTTCAAAATTTAGGGGCTGAAAATGACAAACACTTACTATCTCATCGTTTCTGTGGGGTAGGAACCCCGGGGCAGCTGGTTCTAGCTCAGGACCTCTCCCCAGGCTGTCGTCATTTGAAGACTGATGGGCTGGAGGACCCCTGTGGACCTCTCTGCAGGGTTGCCCATGACAGAACAGTTGGCTTTCCCCAGAGCGAGTGACCCGAGAACGCAATCAAGATGGGCACCACAGTCTTTTATAACCCGATCTTGGAAGTGACGTACCATTCCCCCTGCTGTATTCTATTGGCCATGAAGACCAGCTCTGTTACAAAGTGGGAGGGGACTGCAGAAATGTATGAGAACCAGGAGGTGGGATCATTTGGGGCCATCTTGGAGGCTCATCTTGCACACCTCGAGAGATGAGTGACCTTAGTCTTCCAGGCACTAAGTATATGAGGTCTGTCCAGAAAGTGTCCATCCATGTAATATGAAAAATAGAGGCATTTATTGAAGAAGGTACAAGATACAAGAAACATTATACATAAGACAATGATGCCTCAGACCGGCACAAAGCAGGCACCTTGGGACCTCACACAGTTCTCCCAATCTCTATCAGCTGCCCTGTCATATTTTCCCGAATCTCATTGATGCTCTGAAATCTCTTCCCTTTCAAAGGTGATTTTAGTTTTGGGAAAAGCCAGAAGTTGCAGGGTGCCAAATCTGGGCTGTAGGGGCACTGAGTCTCCTGGGTGATTTGATGTTTCACCAAAAAACTCTGCATGAGACATGATGCATGAGTGGGCACATTGTTGTGATGAAGCTGCCAATCGCCAGTGGCCCATAGCTGTGGCTTTCTGAATCATCTGAATAGTTTCCACGTAGGAATGTTCAAGCTTAATGCAAAATTTGATGCAGATTCATTGCTGTGCTCACTCAGTCATTTTGAATGTGACAGCCACACAGTACACATGCTCACTCAACACATCTACCGCCCCCACTGACTAGTACGGTGAAGTTGTCACTGTTCACACATGCACATTCCAGTCCACTCCCCTTGACTGCCAGGTTACACTGATGTCACGCAAACTGTTCAAGCCATTATCATACTAACAATGGTTGGACTTTTTCTAGATCTTGTACATTAAATCCTTTCAGTAACTGTAGGAGGGGGTAATATTCTCCATTTTAAAAATGAGAAAAGGAAGGCAGGAGAGGCTGGGTAGTTTGCTCACAAATCCATACTCCTAACTACTCTGCACACTGCCTTCTTTCAAGTCTCATCTCTCTGACCCTGGATTCCCCAGGCCCTTGGCTGAGGTGTCCTACCCCGTCTGTGTATTTCCACAAGTCTGTCTGGGTGAGTTTCCTAGGTCCAAATATGTCTCACATGCCTTGTGAAAAACCATGGGGGTTAGAGGAGAGACACAGTGCAGGGCTGGCCCAGAGGTCCCCCCACCCTCACTGCGGGTCTGACTCTGGCCCACCCTGCCTGCCCAGGTGCGGTGGACCAAGACAGCTGGCAGTGCCTCAGACAAGTTCCAGGAGACCTCCGTGTTCAACGAGACCCTGCGCATTGAACGCATCGCACGCACGCAGGGGGGCCGCTACTACTGCAAGGCAGAGAACGGTGTGGGCGTGCCCGCCATCAAGTCCATCCGCGTGGACGTGCAGTGTGAGTCCGAGCCTCCCTGTCAATTCTGGCCCCTCCCTCGGGAAGAAGGGGTCAAACTCAGGCTAGGAAGGAGGAATGGGGGTGGGGCACCGTGGAGAACCGACCCCTGCATGGAGGAGGGCGGTGGAGATTTCCTCTCTTCCATGCCGGAGAGGGGCATCTCCCCTGTTCTGCGATGTGTGCTGCCCTGTACCGCTCACACTTCCCATCTGTGGGAATGTGAACCTTGCAGCATCCCTGTAAAGTGGTCAGGGAGGGCAGGACAGGTTGGATCTGTACCATTCCACAGATGAAGAAACTGAGGTACCAAGTACTCTAGACTTGCTCATGAGCATAGATCTCTTCATTATGGTTCACTGGCCTTCCTACAGTACCTCATGCCTCTGCTTTTGCCCCAGGGCAACTCTGAAACATCCTCACCCCACCGTGTGCAGGAGCAAGCACCTCTCAGTCCTTGCTGCTGCTTGAATGGGAAGTCTCCAGTACCCACCTGCCCTCCATGAATTGTCCCTTAACCCCAAGAGGCTATCTCTCTGCTTGCTACCCCCTCTGTGCCTATCCAGGCTGACCTAGGTACCCAGAACCTGTGGGGCCAGGCCAAGGGCCTGTCTGACACCATCTTAATGTCTACAATGAACCTGCCCATTGAACAGGCCTCACATCCCCCAGTGGGCCCAAATGAATGGTGAGCAGTGGAACCCCAGACCCTCTCTTCTGTCCTGCATCAGCCACCCAGGCACCTGCCAAACCCTGGGGCTGAGGATCATTTCTCAAATTATTGGTGCTGAAGGGGGCTGGGAGGCATGGCCTGGACTTCACCAATGCCCCACCTCTGCCATGGCCTTGATAATGACCTCTATCTGAGTGGGCTGTGGAAGGAAGACAGAATGCTGGCATGTTGGAACATGCATTGTAGGATGTTTGAATGTGGAATTGTTGGTGACTTTGGCTCACAATCCTGGTTGCACATTAGAATCTCTAGGGCATCCTTTTAAAAAACACTGATGTCTGGGTCCAACTTCAGAGACTCTGATATAATTGGTTGGGGTGGGGCCCAGACATGGGGACTTTTTTTTTAATTGAGGACTAACCTACATCCAGTAGAGTACACTAATCTTAAGTGTACAGTTTAATGAATTCTCACATACGTGTGTGTGTAAACACCATGTAATTCAAGGGACTCTCCAGGACCCCAGGAAGTTTCCTCACGGCCTTCCCTGTCAGTGATCTTCTTAGAGACAATCACTCTTCCTCTGATTTCCAACACATTAATGAGCTCTTCCAGGCATCAGTATTAAAAAGGAAATCTCTATGTGATTTCATTCTGCAAATGAGGAAGAACTACCAATCTAGTCCAATTTACCAGTGAGGAACAGGCAGAGAAGAGACTTAGGTCACAGTACAAATTAATAACTAGCCTGGGATTTGAACCAGGGTTTCCTGATTTCTAGTCTGCTGCTGCTTCCTCCATCCCATGATGGGTGGGTGAAGATAGACAACCCCTATGCAGGTCCCTGAGGAGGGACAGCTGGGAAGTCATTAAGTCCAGACCCCTAATTCTAAAGGTTGGTTAAGCTGCAGAGTTGGGAGGGCAGCTGGCTGTCTAGAAGCATCCTTTAGGGTGGCTCAGCTTTCTCTGGGGGCTGCCAGGAGCCCGAATCCCCCACATTGGAAGCATCCAGTCCTGACTCGACTGGGGCTGTGTCCTTGCAGACCTGGACGAGCCGGTGCTGACGGTGCACCAGACAGTGAGTGATGTCCGAGGCAACTTCTACCAGGAGAAGACGGTGTTCCTGCGCTGTACCGTCAACTCCAACCCGCCTGCACGCTTCATCTGGAAGCGGGGCTCCGACACCCTGTCCCACAGCCAGGACAATGGAGTCGACATCTATGAGCCCCTCTATACCCAGGTCAGCATGGGCAGTAGCTGGCCTGGTCTCCTTATGGCTCAATTTACATTCTTCCTCTTGTGCCCAACAAGGGAGGGAGGGGACAGGGGACTGAGGCCCCACCGTCGGGAGTTCTTGGGACTGGCCTGACTAAAATGGTTCTGTTCTGACATCAGAAGTGTGCATTCTGACTGGGCTTCAGACACCCTGGGACAGATGAAGTTTGGACAGAGGCTCGGGGAACAGTGGTGGGGACAGGAGAGTCTCCAAGGCAACATATCCTTCTGGAACACTGCCAGTTAGGAAAGGCACCCTCTAGAAGCAGGCAGGCCACCCCTGCCCACTGCTGGCTGTCAGAGGATTGGGACCCCGCGGGCAGACACAACAGGAGTTGCGGGCAGAGCAGTGACTCCACTTCCCATAGGCCCCGTACTGCCCCAGGAAATGGTGGTGGAGCCATCCTGCCAGGGAGGGTTTTCAAAGGTGGCTTTCCTAGGTGCCTGTCAGGGCTTCACATGTGGCCGTGGCCTATGGAGCTAGCTCCATGTTTGTATGGGTGGCAGGGCTCCCCGCACCCCTTCCGTTTCTCAAAGTAGAGAAGCTGAGGCCTGGTCCTGGCCAGTGTGCACCAGGGCAGCCTCAGATGAGAGGAGCCCAGGGTGTGAAGAGTGCAGCATCCACCCCAGACTCGGGCTCCCTGGGGATAAATGGTGTGGAGGCTGGGAAAGATAGGGATTAGAATAAGAACTTGCTTTAGCCGCTGGTGCTGGGCAAATATGGGAGGGATCCTGGGAGCCCCAAGCAGCCCCCTCATACCAGTGGCCCACTGCTGCTCAGGGGGAGACCAAGGTCCTGAAGCTGAAGAACCTTCGGCCCCAGGACTACGCCAGCTACACCTGCCAGGTGTCTGTACGCAATGTGTGTGGCATCCCGGACAAGGCCATCACCTTCCGGCTCACCAACACCACAGGTACAGGCACTTTCCTGACCTCACCTTTGACCAGCTGAGCTGACGCCCCAGTCAGGAGACGGCGCCTCACCCCACAGAGGACTCTAGGCGCATCGCCGCTAGTGCATCCCCTCCTCCCCTCTGCCTGCTGCCTGACTTCTCCTCTTTCTCATCCCCCATCCTTCCCCAGCCCCATGGTTTTCCTAGCTCCCTATATCCCCACATTTAGCCCTGCCTCATGGTCCCCTAAGACCCCACCTCCTTGTCCTCTTAGCACCACCAGCTCTGAAGCTGTCTGTGAACGAAACTCTGGTGGTGAACCCTGGGGAGAATGTGACGGTGCAGTGTCTGCTGACAGGCGGCGATCCCCTGCCCCAGCTGCAGTGGTCCCATGGGCCGGGCCCGCTGCCCCTGGGGGCTCTGGCCCAAGGTGGCACCCTCAGTGTCCCTTCAGTGCAGGCCCCGGACTCTGGCTACTACAACTGCACAGCCACCAACAATGTGGGCAACCCTGCCAAGAAGACCGTCAACCTGCTGGTGCGATGTACGTGGCTCGGAGGGGTGGGAGGGAACTCGGAGGCAGACAGGGTCCCTGTCCTGTAAGAACTACCAGTGACACGGGACAGGGGCCCGTTCTCTTTTTCTTGGTAGGTGATAAATGCTGAGGAGGCGTGCTCCAGGCACTTCTATTCCCTGCAATCTAGATGTCTTCCAGCAGAGAGCAGGTTTAAAATTTGTGTAAAGTTTTATTTACAATTTACAATCTACATTTCTAAATATAACCTCAGCAATGCAAGAGATAGGAAGGCCTGCCTGGTTTTGAGTACCTACTTTTTTCTAGGTTGGGCTGAGGTTGCAAAAAGCTAAATGTGGACTTCCAGTCTTCAGGAGAAACTTCTTTTGTACACTGATTCCCATAGGAGTCTCTGAGTTAAAGTGAAAATAAAACATTTCCATATAACTCAGGTGTAAATCTCTATTAGCAAAGCATTTTAATGAATCTGAAGATAATTATTAAATGTAAAAATGATACAAAACTTGGAGTACAATCTAAAGAAGTACAAACACTTTCCTTACTAAACCTCAGCTTCAGTAGTTAGCATTAGCTGCTTGACATGATCCGGATTTTGCTACTCTGCTTCAAGGAGAAGACTTCAAATTCTTCTGCTTGGGTAACTTTAGGTTGTTTGCTTGTTTGTTTATTTGTTATATGTTTTTTAAAGATACAGGCCATTTCCAGCTCTTTAGCACTTGAAAGTAAAGTATAGCTTCTGCCCAATTCAACTCAGAGTCTTCTGAAGAAACAAGCCCTTTCTGCTGCTGCTGTTTCGCTGACCAGTCTCTCCCTCTGACTTTGCTCATGAGAAGCTTGCTCTCTGTAGCATTTCCATGAATCAGAGCAAGAAAGAGAGGAGCCAGATTGTGGCTATCTGATAACGGTTTTTCCCTTTGATGGTACTTTTCCCATCAGAAGATTATTTTTCTCCACCTGTTTTCATTTGGCCTTTAGAACCTGGGCTGATGAGATCTCAATTTACATGAAATATTTACGGCCACTGAGGGTGACACACCACCCACCGGGCCCAACCCAGTCCTGGTTTACAGCTGTTGTGCCAGTTTCCTGTCCAATTAGCATCCAATGTTTAGGTTCTGTCTAACTCTTGAATTACATTAAACAATATTCAGACTTTAGAAAGAGGCCAGACCCTTTGCTTTCTAAACTCTGTGCTTTAATGTAATGACATGTAGAATTATTGTATTGGGCTTTTATTATAAAAATTATACAAACTTGCTGCAAAGAGTTAAATAGCACAGAAAGGTGAAATGTACAGCTTAAAATGTCCCCTCAGTTCCCCTCAGTCCCACTGTCTGGAGAGAACCACTGTGACATTCTGGTGCATGCTTCCCAAATTCATAATATGTTTGTTCAGGGCTTAAAACCAGAAAACAGATAAAGTAGTGTAGTGGTTAAGCACAGGCTCCTAATTAAACTGTCTGAGCCTTGGTCCCCTCCTTGTGGACTGGGTGCACTGAAGTGGCCCCTCACAGATTGCAGAGTGAGTTAAATGAGTAAACCTGTGTAAAGCGCCTGGAACAGAGCCTCTCACATAGTGTATGTTTAGTCAATGGTGACTTTAATGATTGCTAAATCCACTTTTCTACAGCGAGCTTTTTTGAACTTTTAAAAATGCATCTGAAAAAGCAGAACAATTTCCAAGCAAAATGGTGTTTCTCTGTGGTGGCTGTGTTTGGCAGGGCGGGGGTGGCGGGGGGGCGGGGGCGATGGCGTAGCTCCCAGCCTACAGAGGGCTGCTTTGAGGGGAGGAGCTGAGCCTGGACAGGGGTGGGACACAGACCCTGGCTTTGGGCCAGCCCCAGCCTCCCTGTCCTCCCCATCCGCCTGCAGCCATGAAGAACGCCACGTTCCAGATCACCCCAGATGTGATCAAAGAAAGCGAGAACATACAGCTGGGCCAGGACCTGAAGCTGTCATGCCACGTAGATGCAGTGCCCCAGGAGAAGGTGACTTACCAGTGGTTCAAGAATGGCAAGCCGGCACGCATGTCCAAGAGGCTGCTGGTGACCCGAAATGACCCCGAGTTGCCCGCTGTCACGAGCAGCCTAGAGCTCATTGACCTGCACTTTAGTGACTATGGCACCTACCTGTGTGTGGCTTCCTTCCCGGGAGCGCCTGTGCCTGACCTGAGCGTTGAGGTCAACATCTCCTCTGAGACAGGTGGGCAGCTGCACGGGCAGCGGGGAGGTGTGAGGGAGCTGGGGGGCGCCCACAGAGTGGAGGTGGGACAGCAGCTTGCAAATGGGAGGTGCTAGGTGCTGGGGTAAAGTGGTGAAACTAAGCAGGAAAGCAACATTTTTCAAATAGTCTCACAGATGTATTACTGCAAACTTGATACATGAGAGTCAGGAAAGTTTCCTCAGAGAGAATCTTTGATCTGAGACCTGAGGAGGGAAGACTTTTACTAGGCAAAGGAGAATAAGGGAGGGTGGAAGAGAAGGAAGGCCAAGACATCAGCATATGAAAAGGCACTGTGGCAGGGAAGTATGTTGGCTGTTTGGAGAACTGAAGGAAGGACAGTGTGGCTGGGAGAATTGACAGAGTGGAGAGAGCAGGGACCAGATTATGCAGGGGATCTGTATCTCTATTCCAGTAATAATAACAGCAATGAAATAATAATGGCTAGCATTTATTGAGTACTTATTATGTGTTCTGATGTTACTATGTGTTACTGTATCTCATTTATCTTCATGATTTACCCTATGGGATAGATAGTTTATCTTCAATTTTTAGGGTAAAGAAACAGGCTCAGAGAGTTCAAAAACCTTACCTAATGTAACACAGCAGTAAGTGGTGGAGCTGGGATTTGAACCCAGGCAGTCTGCCTTCAGAGACTGATCTCCGGCACCTCTAAAGATTTTGCACTTTGAGAATGACAGGAGTTTGGAGGTGATGACTTTGGAGAGGGCCTCTGGGATCTCCAGTCCCAAGCACATTGCACTGAGGAGCTGGCTGACCTTAGTGAAGCCTCTTTAACTCTCTGGGTCTTAGTTTCTCCTCTGTGAGACATGGAGCCAGATGGCCTCGGTGGCCCTTTCCATCCCAGCGTTTGCACAGGGAGAGGCGAGGTGAAGCTGGGAGGGGGGTGGTCAGGAACGGCTTCTGGAAGGAGACTGACCTGAATGAGGCTTTACCAGTGGCCTCCATGGATTCCACACATCTAGTTTGCCAACCACTGTGTGCCAGGCTGGGGGTGAAGGGCTGGGAACCCAAAGAGGGGCCACAGCCCCATCTTCAGAGCCCACTGCCTAGCCTAGGAGACCCACCTATTGCAGTAAAGCAGGAATTGGAAAGGCAAAGCTTAGAAAGGACGCAGGAGACAAAGACAGAGTCTGCAGAGCATGGTGGGGACACGAGAGAAGGACTCCCAGGTTGCTGGGGCATGCCCGGAAAGGCTTCACAGAGGAGCAAGCCATAGGCCATGTGCATATTTGCTAGGGTGGGGGACAAGCCCAGCAGAGAAGGGATGGGGAACCCCCACGGTGTACGAGACTTGGCTTGTCCAGGGAGTATATTCTTGAGGAGTGGATCCCACGGCTGTGACACAGAATGGGAGAGGAAAGAGGAGGCTGGGGGTGGCAGAGGCCAAACCACAGGGGCATATTTACAGAGCCAAGGAGCTTGAGCTTCAACCTGAGGGTGGTGCAGCCTCGAAGTGGGGAGACAGCCTGTTAGTGTGTGGGGGTGACGAAGGGTTGGGAGCTGTGATGTTTTAGACACAGGAAATCAACGGGGCACGGGGCCATTTCCTCCATTTGGCTCATAAGCCTAATTCTTAGGGCATGGAAGCTTTTTAAGGGCCTGTGGAAATGGTTTAGACCTGGAAAAATAAATTAACTGGTACCAAAATACAAAGAGAAAACTGCGAAATTAAAGCAAATAAATGTACAAATGCTTATAGAGTTAAATTATGCTAACTGGATAACGGACCTCAGCATGCCTTGTGGAGTTATTTGCAATTTATATTTAATGTAGGACATTTTAATTTGATGTGATGTGGGATGGGACCCATGGAAATCTTTAAAAAGACCCTCTATTTGGGAATGTGTTGGGTTGGATTAGGTTTGGCTGTGAATAATAGAAAAACCCTAAATAAAAGTGGCTTACATAAGCTGGCTGTGTATTTCTTTTTCATGCAAAAGTGAGCAGTCCGGGCTGGAATAGCGGCTCTGCTCCGCTAAGTCCTCAGGGCCCCACACTCCCTCTTGCCTTGCTGTTCCATCATCCTTAGCGTGTGCCACCTCCTCCACAGTTCCAGCTGCAGCCAGCCTGAGTTCCAGCCTGCAGGGAGGAGGGGAAAAGGCATGACTTCTCCCTTTAAAGACACTTGTTTTCTGTCAGATCCTGCTGGCTAGGATTCAGTCATGTGGTAGCCATAAGGCAGGCTGGGAGACACAGTCTTTATTCTGGCTGTGTGTCCTGCTAAAACCCAGATATTTTATGACTTTGGACAAAAGAGTAAGGATGTTGGGGATACGCACTAGCAATCTGTGATGACCCTCCAGAAGGAGACGATGGTGGCTTTAACTGGTTAGAGCAGGATCGGTGGGTAAGAGGGAGGAGATTGAGGGAGGAGATATTTAGTAGAATTGTTTAAAAGGTGGAATCCCCAAAACATAGTAATGTTGAGGTAAGGGAAGAGAAGGAATAGGCCAGGATGTCAGCTTTTTCTGAATTGGGAGAGCCTGAGGGAGAGACCCAGGAGGTGGGAGGAATTAGGGAGGTGGGTTCTGCTTGGAGACTCTGAGAGATCTAGGTGCATGGGATGGGGAAGGGGGTGTTGCACCCAGGGGGAGGAAAGCAGAAGCCCCACAGCGGAGGCCGCGTTGGGGGCGGGGGACGACACTCTAACCCGCTCCTATCCTCCCCAGTGCCACCTACCATCAGCGTGCCCAAGGGCAAGGCCATTGTGACCGTGCGCGAGGGCTCGCCCGCTGAGCTGCAGTGCGAGGTGCGGGGCAAGCCGCGGCCGCCTGTGCTCTGGTCTCGAGTGGACAAGGAGGCTGCTCTGCTGCCCTTGGGGCTGCCTTTGGAGGAGACCCTGGACGGAAAGCTGCGGCTTGAGCGAGTGAGCCGCGACATGACTGGGACCTACCGCTGCCAGACGGCTCGCTATAATGGCTTCAACGTGCGCCCCCGTGAGGCCCAGGTGCAGCTGAACGTGCTGTGTGAGTCCCACCGCCCCATCCGGACTACCTCCCGAGCTGTCCTTCCTGCCCTGCACAAGGCCTTCCTTCTCTTCATCCCTTCACCCATCCCGGTCAGCCAAACCCCTCCACCTACTGCTGATTCTCCTAAGCCCTCATTGATACCTTGACACATTTCTACAAATAGGGAAACCAAGTCACAGACAGGTTAAGTAACATGAGTGTTGTCACAGCTAGTTAGAAGCAGGGCTGGGATTTGAACCTAGGTCATCTAGCTGCAGGGATCAGACGCTAAATCCCGATGTTATGCTGCTTTTCATTACATGGGGCGTGTGAGGGGGTCTTTGAGGTATGAATAGAAGCCCAGCCTGGGACGCATGGCTGGAAGGAACGGCCAAGAGGGAGTAGGTATCTGCAGGTCGAGAGATATGAGCGTGGTTATTGCATGAGTGTGTTACTAGTATATCTGCCCTGACACCCTTCCAGGGCGGCGGGCACTGGAGTAGGGTCGAGTGAGTCGCTTTCCCCATGGGGCTGCTCCTCAGACCCACCTCGGCCCCGCTGACCTCCGTCCCCGCCTCTGCCCCCAGTCCCACCAGAGGTGGAGCCTAGCTCCCAGGATGTGCGCCAGGCTCTGGGCCGGCCTGTGCTCCTGCGATGCTCGCTCCTCCGAGGCAGCCCCCAGCGCATCACCTCAGCTGTGTGGCGCTTCAAAGGGCAGCTGCTGCCTCCGCCACCCGCCGTCCCGGTCGCAGGCGAGGCCTCCGACCACTCCGAGCTTCGCTTGGACGCCGTCACTCGAGACAGCAGCGGCAGCTACGAGTGCAGCGTTTCCAACGACGTGGGCTCCGCGGCCTGCCTCTTTCAGGTCTCGGGTGAGCGTCCACTAGGTCCCACCCTACCCAACCAAGCCCACTTGGGCTCAGGCTCCGCCCCAACTCCAGCCCCGTGCGCGCCTGTCTCGGGCCTCCCTCGCTGCACTCCTGCCCACCTACACCAAGTTTAGGCCACTGCCTTTCCAAGAACCGCCCCTGCTAGGCCTAGACCGCCCCCATCCCTCCCGGATCCACAGTGAGCTCTTACAGCCCAGGTCCCTCCACTCACGCCCATTCTAGATCTAGGCCTTCCCCTTTCAGGGCTCGCTGAATACCTGCCATAAGCCCCGCCTGCTTTAGCTCAGCCCCCTTCTTTGGGCTCGGATAGTCCCTCCTCTTTCAGGCCCCTCCTTGATCACACATCTCCGCTCTAGCCCCGTGGTACCCAAGTCTGCATCCTTTTTAAAGACCCAGACACGCAGCTTAGGCTCCGCCTACATAAAGTTTAGGCTTCACCCGTTCTAACCTTATCCAATCCCATCTCTCTACTTCCTACTGTTTCTGTAGAAGTGCCCTCCAGCCCCGCCCACGCCCAGTTTAAGCTTACACCCAGTTCAGACCCTCCCACTCAAGCCCTCAGCTCGGCACAGCTCAGTCGCTGAGTTTCAAGCCTCTCCTCCTTCGTCCTAGGTCCCAGAGACCGAATGGGGACCCTCTTTTCCTGACCGCAGGCCCAGTGTGAGGGGCCTGAGCTGTAGCTTAAGGGAGAGAAGACGCCCCTCAATAATGTATCTAGAACCTTGTGGGTCGTGCTGGGCCAGCTCTCCCGTGTTTTCTGAGCTGTCACCCTAAGGATTTAAGGCCCCTCGGTGCCCAGAAATCCCTCTCATCCCCATCTCCTTGTCAGGTCATTCCTGGGTGGGCTGATGGGGTTGCAGACGGGAGTGGGTGGGCCAGAAAGGGGTGGAGGTCGTGGTGAGGGGAATGGAGGGGCTGACGGGTTGCCCAACCCGTCTCCCTTCCTCCATTGGAGGGGGGTGTCCCTGTCAGAGCTGGTGGCACTGCCCCTAGAAGGACCCCAAGCATGCCCGTCCTCAGTCCACCACTGTCCCAGCTCATCCAGCAGCCCCAGACTGACTGAGCGCCCCTTTAGCTCTTATTTGGATCCACTGACTCAGCAGCAGGGGGCTAGCACCACAGGCCACTGGCCACCTCCCCAGCCCTGCCAGCCAGAGGCCCCAGTGACATTTCCCACCTCCTCCCCCTCCCCCCTCTTCTCCCCACCATTTTGCCTCTCCTATCTCTTCTCTTCCTTCTACCTCAATTCCGTGGTCCTTCTTCCTATCTTTCCCCCATCCTCTTTTTGTGTTCCAATATCTCTTCCTTCTCCCCAAACTTCTTTCTGCTCTGTCTTCTTGGCTTTTCTGCTCCATCTCACCAACACCACCTCTCGGAATTCTCCATCTCCCACCTTGCATCCTGCCACACCCTCATCCTTCGGAAACCCCTCTTCTCCCCGTCTGCTCTCCTCACAATATTCCCTTCTCTTTGTCTCTCCTGCCCCCACTCTGTTCCGCTCTCTGTCTCCCTCTCCCCATACCTCCTCTCTCTGTCTCCCCCCATCACACCCCTCCATGGCCCCACGCCCCCTCCCCACCCTCTCAGCCAAAGCCTACAGCCCGGAGTTTTACTTCGACACCCCCAACCCCACCCGCAGCCACAAGCTGTCCAAGAACTACTCCTACGTGCTGCAGTGGACCCAGAGGGAGCCCGATGCTGTTGACCCTGTGCTCAACTACAGACTCAGTGTCCGCCAGGTGGGCCAAGGGGGACAGGGCCCCAGTGTCAGCTGACCCTGGAGGAGCTCATTGAGCCAGGGAAAGGGGTTGGAGATGGGGGTGGGACACGCCGATCTCCTTACAGACAACTCTTCGGGCCCAGGAGGGAAGTGTTCTGGACACAGCAGCAGGAGCCTGGGGACCTGACCCCTCTGGCCCATGCTCTGGCACAGCCCTGAGAATCAGGCAGAGGTCAGTGGAGGGGGAGAGGGGCAGAGCCAGTTCTGCTCATGGAACAGAGACTTGACTCTTACATCAGAAGCTTAAGGCAGAAACTTAAGGCATGAGCTTAAGTCTCACCCACGGGGTCTCTAGAACGCAAGGCCCGAGCCACTGTGCTGGTTTTGAGTCCTGTCTGATTTCATGTGGTTCTGCCTAGCCCATGGGGCCCTTCAGTGGAGGGAAAGAGTGTGACTCTGGGCAGACTGCCTGAGCCGGGATCCAGGTCTGTATGATATGGGCAAGCTACATCTGTCTGGCCTGTTTCCTCATCTATAAAATGGGAGTAAAACTATAGTATTCTACCTCATAGGATCATTATTTTGAGGGTTAAATGAGTTAATAATTGCCCAGCATTTAGTGCCTGGCACACATTAGTGTTCAATATGTGTTGCCATCATTTATTACTAACACAGCCCTGGTCGTAGGCATGGAAGGGGTGATTGCCTTGTCCTGCAGATGAGGAAACTGAGGGCCTGGCTTCCTAGTCCTTTGTTCTTTCTGCTGCTTGACACTGACCCCCAAAGTCATGCCAGGGCCTGGGTTGGTGCTCTGGTGGAGGACTTGGCCTGTCTAGCATTTGGGAATTCCCTGTATCTCCAGTTGAATCAGCACAATGCCATGGTGAAGGCCATCCCAGTGCGGCGTGTGGAGAAGGGGCAGCTGCTGGAGTACATCCTGACTGACCTCCGTGTGCCCCACAGCTACGAGGTCCGCCTCACGCCCTATACGACCTTTGGGGCCGGTGACATGGCCTCTCGCATCATCCATTACACAGAACGTAGGTGGTGGTGGGGGGGATGGGGAGGGTGGGCCCATCTTATACCCAGCAGGCACCCTCCCCCCTCCCCACAGGGCTCCTAAGCTTGGGTCTCCGCACTGTGCGATGTCCTGCTCTGTCACTGTAGGCAAGGTCCCTCTGGCTCCCAGTCCTGGCTCTGGGGACCCTGCCCCTGGTCCTATGCTCGGGCACCCGCTGCATGACCCCACTTGATTCTGACCTGGTTATCTTGCTTGCTTTCTCAGCCATCAACTCTCCCAGTCTGTCAGGTGAGACACTCTGCCCACTTTTCCTTCTCCTCAAGGACAGAAAGCACCCCTGGTGGGAGGAAGGGACCCAAAGAGATGCCCAGAGAGAAAACGGGATGGAGGCTGGCAGCTGGAAGGAGAAGCAGGAGGGAGCAGGGCTGGGCTTGGAGATGTTTGCATCCAGGGTTTACTCTGGGCCTTAAAGGTGGGGGGCGGGGTGGAGTCGGGGGACATCTCTAACTCAGGGCCTCACTCAGCACCACTCACTGTCCCCAAAAGAAAGGCCAGGCTAATCCATGTCCCCTGTTCTCCGGAGCAGGTGTCCTTAGACCCCCAAAAGATCTGTGTACAGAATTCAGGGGGTCTGTGAATCTGGAACCTGGAAGGGCATACACTTTATTTCCCCAATTGCTAACAGCAGTGTGACAGCTCCTTCCTTGGTGGATGGAGGCAACCAGCCACAGGAGCACAATCAGTGCTTGTGACTCTGTCATCAGAAACCTGATGTTGTCACGTCACCTTAAAGTTCTTGCAGCTGTCTCCCAGTATCACCTACCACCATTAGTATTTCAACACTATAGCAGTTAATAGACCTAACGCTGTATCTCCTGGTTTAATTTGATAATAAAGAAGCCCAATTATTGTATGACAACTTTGTTTAAAAATATTTGACATCTCTTAGTACAGCTGATTTTCTGTCAATTCTTTGTATTTCATTTTATGCATTTTAATCATTATTCGTCTCTAAGGAGATGGGATCCCTAGACTTCAGTAGTGGCCAGAAGGGTCTGTGGTGGCACACAGAAGTCAAGAAGTCCTGTTCTGGGGACAAGTTGGTCAGGGGCCCTGTGGCCTGGTTTCCCAAGCCTTGGAATCCTGGGCCCAGTACTTGGGAGCTGCCTCAGGGGTGGCCAAGGAGGGCAAAGCTGGTCCAGTGGACCCCAGGAGGCTGACCCTCTTGTCTCACCCCCACTCCCCACCCTGATGCAGACAACACCTGCCACTTTGAGGATGAGAAGATCTGTGGCTACACCCAGGACCTGACAGACAATTTTGACTGGACACGGCAGAATGCTCTAACCCAGAACCCCAAGCGCTCTCCCAATACTGGTCCCCCCACGGACATCAGCGGCACCCCTGAGGGTGAGGACGTGGCCTATTGCTATGGAATAGAGGATTGCTTCAGGGGTCTTAGGGAACCCCAGTCTAATGGAGAGACATAGCCCTCTCCTCAGGGAGCCCCAGTCTGAGGGGAGACATGGCTCCGTCCTGACGGAGGATCAGGAGGAACCTCAGTGGAGCCAAGAACTCATAAAGACTGACCTAGACACATCCCTGATGTCTCTGCACCACATCCCCGAGGCAGGGAGGATGGGGTGTGATGGGTGAGGCCCCTGGTATTCATTCAGCTGAGACTAAGGCAGGGAAGGAATCAGGTAGAAAGAGGTCTAGGTGGGGTGAAGAGGAGGCTGTTGGCCTATCTCCCCCTTCCCTGCAGGCTACTACATGTTCATTGAGACTTCAAGACCCCGGGAACTGGGGGACCGTGCACGGTTGGTGAGTCCCCTGTACAATGCCAGCGCCAAGTTCTACTGCGTCTCCTTCTTCTACCACATGTACGGGAAGCACATCGGTGAGTCAGGGGACCAGGTGGTCTGCCCTGTGTGTCTTGGGGCTGGGCAGGGAGGGGTGTCCAGAGGGGGCCAGGAAACTGCCCATGTGTGGCCTCTATTTCCCAATGTAGCTGAATCTGCACAAAGGGTGAGGTCCAGAGCCAGCTTGTGTGAGGTTTTAAGATGATCAAGGCACCCTGAGACAGAAGGAAAAATGGCTTCACCAGAATGAGATGGGGGTCTTAGAGGGGATGGAGAAAACAGCTAAGATGTCACTGTATTACTGATTTCCTGCCAGGTGCCAGGCAACATCTTGGGTTCTCTGCATCTGTGGTCTCACTGTCCCGCACAACCACAAGGTGAGGGAGGTGTTCAGAGAGGTTAAGGATTTGCCCAAGACCACACAGCAGCCCAAAGCTGTCAGACTCCCTCAGACCCTAAAAACAGGGTTGGAAGTGTGCTGCTTTGTGAGGAATGTCCTGCTTTCTAAGCGTGGGTGTGCACCTAAGGAACGCCCTTTGGAAAGAGGCAGCCTCGGTAGGAGCGCGCATTAATCAGCGAACTCATCAGGGCAGCCCTCGCGTCCAGAGCTTCTGCTCTGTGCCCGGCATCAGGTGCTGCAGCATACCGGATGGACAGGCTCACCCCTCTCCCGGCACCCGCAGTCAGGTTAGAGACAGACATGGAACAACTGATGGCACCAGACAAGACTTAGTGGCCACCGTGACACATGTCTGCTGCTGGAGACAGGGGCCAAGACAGCTGGTGATGGGGACCGACCCTGGGGCCTGGTTATAGAAGACTGCTGAGGAATTGACATTTTTCTAAATCTTATTTGTTTGCTTGTTTACTTACTTGTGAGAAAGGTGATGTGCTCTGCATGGGTCAAAAGGTACAAAGGGGCCCTGATGAGAGTCCTGCCCCTCCCAGTCCTCTTGCCGCCTAGGGCCCCACGCCAGGGCGGTCAATGCACTAGATTCGGGGACGTTTCCAGAAGTACTTTATGCACATGGAGCCAGTGCACATACCTTGTTCCCACCCCCTTTGGTTTTACACCCAAAACTGTGTGTTCGGAGCCTGTTTGCCCTCTGAACCGTGCACCTTGGAGACCAAGCCTCATCAGGCCACAGGACACTAAACCGTTTTCCAAGGCTGCACAGCAGAGGAAGCGACTTTCAGCAGGTGGAGACTTAAAGGCTCATTATGGAGAAGGCTCCGCAGCTCACATGACGGGTCAAGCTGAACCAGTGAACTGCAAGGGGGTGGGATGGAAGGCTCTGCACCCCTCGGGGCCCAGACCAACCACGCAGACCAGTGTGGCCGTGGCTGGGACTGGGCTGGGTGAGAAGCGTCCTCTGGGGTGAGGGGTGGGTGACGGGACTGCCTGCTCTGCCTGGCCCTCGCTTCCCCCTGGCTTCCCAGCTCTAGCAGCTGATGGAAACCAATTCTGCTTTGCCCAGCCTCTCCCAGTTTCACCCTGAAAGTTCTACATCAAAGGCACACTTGGAGAGTTGGCCACTTTACCCCCAACTCAGGAGGGACACTGGGGACCCACTGTGAAGAGGAGCGTGTTGGGTCTGCTAGGCCCTGGGAAATCAGGCCTTTGGAGCGGGGACGCCAGGGTAACTGGGAGCAGGCTGGGCCCCAGGGCTTGCTCGGTGCCCCTTGGGGGCTGGCACAAACCACCAGTGAGCACTTCCTAGGAACAGACTCGATTCCAGCTGAGAGAGACCCTGTAAGCTTCAGGTGTGCCCAGCCAAGGAGTGGGCTGTCCTATCCCCGGACAGGACTGGCACAGGGGTGCTGTGGAGGGGACCGCTATCTCTGTCATGCCCCTCCCTGGCTCTGTCCCCTTCTGCCACCATCTTCTCCAGGCCTCCCACCCCTGCCCAGACCCTGCCTGCTTCTCTGACCTCATTGTCTGCTGCTCGTCCTCTGGCTACCATTTAGTTTGAGCATACTGGTCTCCTTGCTTTTCTTTAAATACTCGAGGCAGGTTCCTGCTTTAGAGGGCTCTGTTCATGATGTTCTCCTGGCCTGGAACATTCTTCTCATTCCCTCTTTCAGGCCTCCTCAGAGAGGTCCCTGGTAGCCCCATCTGAAATGTCTTCATTCCCTTCCCTGAATTACTTTCTTTACAATGCATACCACCAATAGAACACAAGCTCCTGGAGGGCAGGGGTCTTCGTCTTACTCACTGATGTGTCTCTAGTGCTTAGAATAGTGTCTGGCACATAGCGGTGCTCAGCTAGTTGAATGAATGAATGAATGAATGAATGAATGAATGGCAAGGAGGTCTGAACTTGATAAAACCCAAGGTAACGTCTAATCCTTAGGCTCTATGGAAGTCCTTTCTCTCTCCTGATGACAGTTGTGAAAAATTCTTCATTCAGCATTTAATTATTGAGAACCAACAGCAATGGGATGCAGACTTTCCCTCAAGGAGTCACAGGGAGGAGAAGATAGGAATCCCAATGACTGCCACACCCCTGAGCGGAGACTGGGCCAGGCCTGCAGAACTGCAGTTTAAGGACTCAAGAGTTCCCAGGAGGCATAGAGAACTCCCAGTTTAAGCCTAGGAAGACTTCTTGGAGGAGGTGACATTTCAAAGAGACCTTGTAGCACAGGAGCAATTTGGCTAGGGGAATGTGGTAGGGAAGGACATCTCAAGCAGTGGGAACAGCTTAGGCCAAAGTCCAGAGCTGGAGTATGTCCAGGCTCCAGCATACAGTTGCATTTGGCTTTGGAGGAGGTGAGGGACACAGGGGAAGAATGTGGTGAGCAGGTCCACCCTTAAGGGAAGTCGAAGATCGTGGGCCTTGGCTGACACCTGCAAAAGGGTATCAGCAGTCCCTGAGCAGGAGGGGATCTTGGAGCTGATGGGGTGCTCAGGGAAGGGGGCAGAAATTCAGTGTTTGTTTCGACAGTGAAAGGGTGGTGTGTCCTTGGGGCATGGAGGTGAGGGAGGAAAAGAAGGTGTGAATGAGACTGGGTCCCAGGGGGGATAGGACCAGGGGAAGGTCTCCAGGAAGGGGGAGAGAAAGAGGTCCCATGGGGGCCGGTGGGAAGCCCAGAAGGCACTGGGTGTTGGTGGCAGCCCTCCTGTGGCTCCATCTGCTGGTGAGGAGGGGAGTGTTTCTTGCCGTCTTTGTCCCTCCTATCCATTCCCCTCCCGCTCTACCTGGGCTCTGGGCACCAGCTGTCCCCAGACCTTGCATTTTGCAGGCTCTTCTTGGTCCAAGCCAACTCCTTTGATCTCAGGCAGGGAACACTTGGTGGCTCTCCCGCACTGGGGTCTGTCTGTCTGGTGCTGCAGATGGTGCTGTGGAAATGCCAGCCACCGGGTGCCGTCTAACTTGATTCCTCTCCCTTCTGAGCCAGGTCTTTCGCACCACTGGAGGCTGGAAGAGCTGGGGAGGGGACATAGAGTGGCCTGGGTGCTCTTAACCAAGCCACGATCCCCCTCCCTTCCAGCGTCTCTCAGCACCTCCAGAACTCCAGGCCCCCTGGCTGCGGGCAGATGGGCTCAGCACCCCCAGACTAATGCCTCCAAACTTTCACTTTCACTCCTTTTACCACAGCTATGTGCACATATACTAATCTTATTCTTTAAATCAACTCATTCCTTTTTTCTTCGCTTTGTCCTAAGCATTAATATTAGAGAGATTGTGAGTTTGAAGGGCTAGTTTCACTCACCTCTGAAACATACATGTAAGTATTAAAAATTTTAAAGTCGATTCCTGTACTTCCAGAAACCACCCCACGTCTCAAGCACTGCCATGGGTCTGCGTCGCGTGTTTCGGAATCCTGCTGTGTGTGCAGACAAGGCCCCATCACCCTGGGGCAAGTGTCCTGTCTAGAGGGGGCATGGGAGTGTGTGTGTGTGTGTGTGTGTGTGTGTGTGTGTGTGTGTTTAGGTTAGGGGATTAGATGATCAGGAAGGAAGGGAAGAACTGAAAGAAAATTTACAAATTGTCCCAATGAACTGAAGCCCTGCTGCTGTCTCTCTCTTTGCTGTGTTAGCTATTGCCCCTCCCCTTGGCCCAGGATAATGGGACATTGAACCAGTAGGTGATGGGCAGGCGACACCTAACCGGGACAGTGCTGGGGGCAGTGGTGGGAGAGGAGGGCTTGGTGAATGGCGAAGGGGAAGGGGCCCTTGTTCAGACCTCACTGGCCCGCTTTCCTCACACCCACCACAGGCTCCCTGAACCTCCTGGTGCGGTCCCGGAACAGAGGAGCCCTGGACACGCACGCCTGGTCCCTCAGTGGCAATAAGGGCAACGTGTGGCAGCAGGCCCACGTGCCCATCAACCCCAGCGGGCCCTTCCAGGTGAGTCTGTCGGGCCCAGAGGCCCCCCACAGGCTCTCCCCGGCCTTGGGCGGTTGCTCGGGCCAGGAATCACTCGGGAAGGCTTGGCAGTGTCCGGGGAGCCGGTGCCGAAAGCGGGCAGGGTGTGGGGTGTGGGGCTGGGGGGCTTCCAGGGGCACTGAGGGGAAGAGGTGGCAGTCTGTCTGGCGGAACCTCCCTAACCCCTGCTCCCTGCCCTCTGACCCCACCCCAGATTATTTTTGAGGGGGTTCGAGGTTCGGGCTACCTGGGGGATATCGCCATAGATGATGTCACACTAAAGAAGGGAGAGTGTCCCCGGAAGCAGATGGATCCCAATAAAGGTGAAGGCTGGGAGGGGGGTGGGAATCTGTGGGGGGCCCCGTGGGTAGGCGCCTGTGTCGGGGGAGGAGGGTGTTGGAGTCTGAATGAGGGTTCGGAGTGGCTCGGTGACAGGCTGTGTGCGTCCGTGACTAGGGGACACCCGGGCTCCGGCCTGGCTCAGGCTGTGGGGCCCGTGCAGGACAACGAGACGACCAGGCCCTGCCCTCCTGTGGGTGTGCTGAGCTGTTTTCATGCCCGCGTGCCTCCTGTGCCCGTGTCTGGGCACATCTCTGTGTGGGCCCAGAGGCTCCCTTGGAGAACAGCTCAAGTTTACTGAGCCATTTCTACATAGTAGGCAAGATACACTATGCGAGAGCTCATTCAATCCTCAAAACAGTCCTCTGGGGTAGTTCTTACTATTAGACTCATTTTACAGATGAGGAAACTGAGGCCCGCTGAGGCCAAGTAAATTTCTCCCTGTCTTAGTGAGCCACAGAGCCAGGACTTGGACCCCGCAGGCTGAGTTAACCCCTCCACCACACCTCCTTGAGTCCCTGCTGCTAAGTGTGTCCATGTGCATGGAGGGCGATGTCTGCCCTCGGGTCTCCAGAGAGACGGGGCAAAGCGACGGGCCCCTCTATGGCCTGCTGGCCTGCCTGCTACTCACTGGCCCTCCCGCACTGACTGGCGCTCTGGCCTGTCTCCCCTCTCTCCTTCCCGTCGCAGTGGTGGTGATGCCGGGCAGCGGAGTGCCCCGCCAGCCCCACCCGCAGCTCTGGGGGCCCGTGGCCGTCTTCCTCTTGGCGTGGCAGAGATGATGAGAGCTGCGTGGCCCCCACCCCGCCCCTGGCACACCAAAGTGTCTGCATCGTACCAAAGACTGACCCCCGCCAGCCGGGGTGCCCGGGGCAGGACCAGCCCGCCAGGGAGGGGGCCGATGTCGACTGCGAGGATGAGCAGAGAACAAGGACAGAGGTCCAGCGCTGAGGCCCTGCAGACAGTCGTTCGACACACGCACACTCACACACTCACACACAGAAGTATATTAAAGCACAAATTTCTATCCGACCCGCCAGCCAGCACCTTCTTTACTGCAGAGATGGGAGACTCACCTGAATGGTGTCTGCCGCCCCAGGGACCTTGGCACCATCTAGGCCTTGTCCTGGCTGCACCTGTGGTGTGTTTCTGCTCTCACTTCGTCCCTAACTTAAGGCTGAGCCCCAGCCCTGTGGCTGTGCCAGAAAGAGAGTAGACGCAAGGGTCCTCTCTTGACCAGACTTGGACTCTCTGGGGTCGGGGAGGCTGGGGTCGGAGAGGCCAGGGGGCCCTTTGTGAGCTCTGTGAATGTCCCCGTGCAGAGGACAACGAGGAAGATGAGGCACCTGCTGCTTGCAACTCTTCCTGGGGCAAGGGCTAGAAAGTGGAGACCCCAGGTCACCCAGATCCCCTGACCTGTTCCTGGGATGTCATACTCCACCCCCCACTCTCCGTGCCTCCTTTGAAGGGGCCCAGCATGGCGTCGTGAGCCTGGGCCGTCTGAAGATGGACACCTTTCCCCGCTACTCCCACCTCCCTCTGAAGCATCCGGATTCCTGAGAGCACAGTGCCCCCCCCACCCAGAAGGCTGGCCCAGCCTCAGCCCCCAGCTGTACCTCCAAAGAGCCAGGGTGCCCAGGCCGCTTTCTGAGGTGAGGCCTGACTCCGAAAGGGACAGAGGGAAGGTTCTGCTTTCACAATTTTGTGTCCCCATATCAGACACTGAACTTGGGGAGTGCAGCCTCCGTTTCTTATATACTTAGTGTGAGGGGCTGCCCTGGGTGGGAGGGTGTGGGGGGAGGCTGCCCCTGCCCTCTTCTACTGGTGAAGGAGGAGGGGTTTACAGAGCTGGGGTGGGGGGTGGGGCAGTTGCTGGTCACCCTGTTCCCTGAGAGCTGAGCTCTTGTCCCCCAGCTGTGAAAGGGCTCCCTATCCTTGGGATCCTTGGGTCCTAGGTAGGGTGCCCAAGTTAGACATGATGGGATCTGGACCTCTCCTCCCCAGCATCACCCCTGAGCCCCCACACAGCTATCCATGGGAGAGAGCAGGCCCGGCCCCTTCCAGGACGAGTCTTGATGCCTGTGTGCATGTGGCCACGTGTCCCTGTGGGTGTGCATGGGCGTGCATGTGTGTGGGCCTGTTGTGTCTGTGTAGCCCTGTGGGTACATCTCTGGGCACCAGAGTGTGCAAATATGAGCCTGTGTATGCAGTAAGACACACCTGTCCATGAGGGATGAGTCCGCACACCTCATCCCTGTGAGTGTCTGTGTATGTGGGCATGTGTATCCATCTCCATGAGTGACAGGGAGGCTTGTGGGGTGATGGTCAAATAGATCATGTCTAGCCCTATTCTGTAGTCTCAAACTGCCTGCTACCACCTGCATTTCTACCTTTCATTCTCTGTGGGTGACAATGAGCTTACAGACAGCTCTGTTGGAATGCAAGCACCTTCGGGAGGGGATGCCACAGGGCCTATCCTGGAGCATGTGGTGGGGACAGCTGCAGGGAGGAGGTAGCAATGCCAGGAGCAGTCAGGGAACTGCTCTGCCAGGCCTGTGTTACTAGCAGCTGGTGGGCCCTGGGCCAGGGTTGGAGCTGGTCTCCTGATAGCTGACCAGCCTGGCTGCCTCTTGGGCCCATCCAAGGCCTCTGTCTGAAACAAGGGGCTCCAGGTCCCCAGAACGCACTTCCGTCACACTCGCCGGCCGCTGTTCCTTCCTCATCCCATCTGTGTGGGGTCTGTTGTCCCAACCAGACTGTGAGCTCCCCCTCGGGACTTTCCAGCCCTCTCCCCACCCCATCCCAACTTCATGGCCAGCACGAGTGGGCCTGTTCTCTGGAAATCACTTAGCGGGCTTTGCCCAGTGGGATGAAATATGCCTAAATCAGTGCTTCCCAGCCCTGGCTGCAGGTGAGAACCACCAGAACGTCCTTGAGGAAGCACCAGGGCTTGGCTCCTACCCCACAGGTTCTGATTTGATTGGACTGGCATGTGGCCTGGCATCAGAAATGTTTGAAAGCTCCTTAGGGGGACCCCAGAGTGGGAACCACTGGCCGATTCCCTGCTGGGGGCTTCCTCTGCCCTCCGGGAAGGGGCCGGACACCCAGGAAATAGCCCCGAGTGCTTCCTCCTTGAGGTTCCATGGCACCCTAGGCTGGCTTCCCCCAGGTGACCTTCGAGTGTTCCTGCCCCCACCCCAGCTGCTCCACAGTGGGAACCTTGTCTCCCCTGCTCACCTCCATAGCCATAGAATCTGATGCAGAAAAGGTTCTGGACATCTGTCAGCCAAGCTGGACTGCATACATGTGCCCTTGAGTTTCTCACCTGGAGAAAGGGGACCTGGTGTCGTTGACAGAGAATGCAAGGTGAGGAAGTGACAGGGAGCACTGCTGGAGGGAGGTCTCAGAGGGCCGGGGAAGCCCTGACTTGAGGGTGACTGGACCTGTGGGGACAAAGTGTGCTTGAGTGAGACCCAAGGTTCCTGGCCCTCGAGTGCAGGTGGGTGGGGTTGGTATGTGTGGGTCTGTGTGTGCCAGCAGGCCTGTGGGGATGTGGGTGTCAGGTGTGCTGGCCCTAACGGTGTGTCGCGTGAGCGCCTCGGTGTGCCAGTCCGGGTGTGTTTATGTTGCGCCGGGAGGTCTGCAAAGAATGAGTGCCTTTGTGTGTCCCTGGGCGGCTTGTCGGTGTGTGTGTGCCTGTGAGTCAGCGCCTCTGTACCGGTGTCACCTGTGTATCTTTGTGTGCCATTGGGTGTCAGTGTCTGTGTGTTGATAGGTGGCCCATGAAGACCCCCAGACCGGGGAGACCGGGCTGGCTGGATCCAGTGCATCTCCCCAGTGGCAGTCTCGCCCTCTGGGTCAGGGTGGCTGAGGCATTTCGTGGCCTTAAAACTGGGAGTCCAGGGTCAGCTCTCAGGGTGTTAGGGTCCCTCCACCTTATCCACTCCAGGTTGGTGTCTGGGGGATAAAGGGACTCCTGGGCCAGGTGCTGTTCAGGTAGGAGAGGGGGCATCTGAGTGGCTTTCCTGCCCCTGGGGCCATTGGACAGCCACCCGGGGTGCTGAGCTAGGCCTGCAGACCAAACCCCTCCTCCTGGGACGCTCCTCCCACCTCCGCCCTCTCTGAGACGGCTCTGGCACCTCTTCCCCATTCACTCTCCCTCCTCCCTGTGCTCTGTGCAAGTCCCTGGCTCTGGCTGTCAGCACCAGGCTGGGCCTCGGAGGTCCATGCTCTTCGTGGTGCAAATGAGAAGGGTGAAACCTGGAGGGGGAAGGGACCGGCCCTTGGTCGGTCACACAGCTAGTTAGAATGCAGCCACCTTGGAAGCTGGCACTGCAGCCCTAGTGTTGTCACCCCACTGGCCACCGCCCCGGGGTCTCCTATCAGGTAGCGATGAGGAGCGTGGTCAGACGACCCCATCTCTGGGAGCTGGAACAGGTTCCTGGGCTCTGCACTGGCAGAGGCTCCGTCTCCCTGTCCTGAATTCTGGACCCTCACCCCAGGCCACAGCCCCTTCCAGCCCTAGTCAGGCCTGGGTACCGCACAGAGGCCGCCTTCCTCTACTTGCACTGGCCGTGGCTGCGCGTCCCTTCCCCTGGGTTCTCGGAAAGAAGAGACTCTGTTTCCTCTCTCCTCCCCTCTGTCCCCACACACCCTGGGCTGGGAATGAAGGTCAGTGTGTCCTTGTGTCCCCATCCTGTTGACACCCCCTGAGGACCAGGACGGCCTGAGGGAGCCTGGGCAAGTCCTAGTGTTTTCTTCTCCCCGGACCTCTCACGGGGCTGGGCAGCACTTCCAGGGTCAGTCCCCAGGAACAGGTGGGCACACCTGCTTTGGAGAGTCCCTGTAGGGCCACTGGTTGAGGTTCTGGGTTTGAGGACCTTTCCCACTTCCAAAGGCAGGGTAAGCACCACTCCCTCTCTGTTAGTCCTAAGTGTATATCTGAGCAGAAGTGTGTGTGTGGGTATGTGTGGGTGTGTGTGGGTGTGAGGGTGTGAAGGTGTGTTGCTAGGGCAGAAGGATCACTGTTTCCTGAGGATCCCTGACCCCTAGTGCTAGAAGGGGCCACAGAGACCTTCCAACCCAGTGTCCCCACTGTACAGGTGGAAAACCTGAGGCTCAGAGAGATGGCCCTTGCCCACCATCCCCTTCTCTCCCCCGTGTCATCTACACTCATTCCCCGGGAGCCTGACGGGAAATGCCCGCCCTCCTAGTGTCCCCCCTCCACCAGCCACCCACATGACCACCGTCTCCACCCAGTTCTGCTGACTCCTCTGCCTCAGTGGTCTCCAGCACCCTTCCCACCCCGGTGGCCGGCTCACCAAGGCCTTTACCCCGAAGCCAGGAGAAAGGGCAAGGGGAAGGAGGGGACTTCCGGCCCTGGGCCTCATGCACTTAGGAGAGAAGCCCCGCATCCCCATGCCCAGGCCTCCCACCACCACGGTCAAAGCACAACAGGAGACCCTCACTAGCGGGTGAAAGGTACTGGGGTTGTCTGAGTCACACGACCCCGTCCTCACCCCTTTGCCTTGCTCTCTGTCTCCACCCCAGCCTCCGTCGCCCCTTTGACTCTCGCCCCAAGCCCCCCGATGTAACCTCTAGTTGCGGACGCGGTTGTTTCAATAAAGCTGCAGTGTTCTAGAGCTCCGGGTCAGGCTGTGTGTGTGGGCGGCCTGTGGGGGGAGCGAGCAGGCCAGGCTGGTTGGGGGGAGAGGCAGGGGGTTCCTCACAGGCCACTGGGGGAAGCCTTTTTTCTCTTCGGCACCTGTTGTCATGGATCCCGTATCCTGTTCTGCCACCCATAGGGTGGAGACCTGCATCCTGTTCTCCTGTCCAGTGAACTTGGACATCCTCATTCATTTGTTCTTTCAACAAATGCTGCCAAGTGCTGCCTTCGTGGAAGCTCCCGGCTAGTGGGGGAGATGGATACCATGCTAACAATACACCAGGGAGTGCATCCTTACAAATATAGTTAGGGCTGCAAAGGACAGCTGATGCTGTGTGAGAAGGGAAGGGGAGGTTCTTATTTGAGTTGAAGCTTCAGGGAAAACTTCTGTAAAGGACAGGCATTTAGGAGACACGTAAAGAATGCTTGGAATTAGGCTACTGGGGCAGAAGGGTCTTCCAAGCAGAGGGGTCAGGATGTGCGAAGGGCTAGAGGGGTGAAAATAAAAAGCCCAGAAGCTTCGAGGAAGGGGGGGAGCCAGTAAGGAGGAATGGAGTCGGTCGACCACTCATACTGTGTCCCTTCCCCTTCCCGGTTCCCAGGCCCGAGTTCCCCACACAGTCTGTGCCCCGGCCTGGGCCGTAACCCCACTGCACTCCGCCTGGGCCTGCCTCCCTTGCTCACCACCAGTTAGCTTCCCCCGTGCCCTGATATCATATTATGCCAACCTTTGTCTTTCCCCAAGACCCCTCAGACTCTTAGAAGTTCAAAGCTGGGAGGTCCTTAAAAGTCACTTATTTCAACCACCTAGGGCACGGGGGCAGGCAGTGATGAGGAGGGCAGACACTCTCCTGTGAAGTGATCCCAAACCATGGGCACGGGTGCCCTAATAGGAACTGAGAGATCAGGCAAATGACAGGAGCAGAGTCTTTTGTGTTACCTAGTTACAGTGACTCAGGGAGATAAAGCAAATGGTTTCATTTTCATGTTCCAGAGGGAAACTGAGGGCCCAAAAGGTGACAAGACTGGGGCTCCCTACCCCATCTTTATCAGC